GCTACTACTACGACTACGACTACGACTACGACTACGACTACGACTAGGACTACGACTACTAGTACTAGTACTAATACTAATACTAGTACTAGTACTACCACTACTACTACTTCTTCTACTACTACTACCACTACCATTACTAGTACTACTACTACTACTACTACTACTACTACTACTACGACGGCGACTACTCTACGACTACGGCTGCTAGTGCTATGCCATGAGTGCTGCTACTACTACTACTGCTACTACTACTACAACTACTACTACTACTACTACCACTACCGCTACCACTACTACTACTACTACTACTACTACTACTACTACTACTACTACTACTACTACTACTACTACTACTACTACTACTACCACTACTACTACTACTACTACTACTACTACTACTACTACTACTACTACGCTACTACTACTACTACTACTACTACTACTACTACTACTACTACTACTACTACTACTACTACTACTACTACTACTACTACTACTACTACTACTACTACTACTACTACTACTACTACTACTACTACTACTACTACTACTACGACTACTACTACTACTACTACTACTACTACTACTACTGCTACTACTACTACTACTACTACTACTACTACTACTACTACTACTACTACTACTACTACTACTACTACTACTACTACTACCACCACCACCACACTTTCGGCGAGGTGGATCACACTTTCGCATCGGGGGACAAATATTCGCGTAACAAAAACACGCTTTCGCGTAGGCGAAGCAGGAATTCGCTAAGGAAAAAACACTCTGTCGCTTGGGAGAAACACGCTTTCGCTTTGCACAACCACATTTTCTTTTAGGTAAACCACATTGTCGTTCAAGGAAACCACACGTTCGCTTAGGAAAAGCACGCTCCCAATTTAAAAACCATACCTTTGCTCAGGGAAACCAAACACGTCGGAGTGGCGTCTTGAATCCGGGGTAGGAAAAGCGCCATGCTGCGGAGGAAAACTGAGGTTGTGGCGGCCGAGGAACGCATGGGCCTGCGTGGAGGATGCCACGGGGACTCGCAGGGGGATGTTTTCACCGCGTCGGCGTTTGCAAAGGTTTTGACTCCGGCGTCTTGAACCCCCCTTCCCGCCTCTTCAGCTTTTGAAGCATTGTAGCGGTCTCGCCTTCACGAGCCTCTCAGTCTCTAAGACGGCCCAGGGGGCCCCTAAGGCCGCCCGAAGATGGCCCAAGAGGCCTCCCAGAGACCGCCCAAGTGGGCCTCAAGACGGCCCAGGAGACCCTCAAGAGGGCCCAAGGCCCTGAAGGGGGGGACAGCGACGGGTCCGAGCCTTTGCCCTGAACAGTCTTCAAGACCCTCAACATGCCCCAAGAGGCGCCGAGAGGACTCCAAGACTGTCCTGAGAGGCCCCGAGAGGTCCCAACAACGTTTCCAAGAGGCCTCCCAAGACACTCAAAGAAACCTCCCGCAGAGGCGTCGGGTCCACGACGTAGGCATTGGGGGGTGGGTGGGTGGCCGAAAGCCATTAGCTACTCCGAAGAGGCCTTCAAACACCCCCCAGCAAGGGGAGCTGGCATGCGGACCGCGTCACGACTTTCGATGCCGCGCGCCATCCCGCCAAACTCCCAGGGAGCGGCTGGTGATGCGCCGCTGGCGTCCTCGATCGTTCAACGCATTGTGTGCTCAGCGAGGACTTGTGCGGTCCGCTCAGGCGGAGGCCTGAGGCACGATGGCAAGTACGCTGCCACGATGGTGAAGACGATGGATAAGATGAGGGAACGAGATAAAGAGAGAGAGAGAGAGGAACAGAGAGAGAGAGAGAGAGAGAGAGAGAGCGAGAGAGAGAGAGAGAGCGAGAGAGAGAGAGAGAGAGAGCCAGGACGAGAGGGGGGGTGGTGGGGGAAATTGCGAACGTCTTGCTCCTCTTCGCTCTGCGGCGCTGCTGCCACGGCGTCCTCAATGACGCTGGTGGGCTCACAAGGCTGCGAATGCTGCTCCTCATGGGCATCAGGAGGAAACGGGGGAGCAAGACGAACAAGACAATGATAATGGTGGTTGGGGGAATGGTCAAGGCGGGAGGAGTGAGGGAGGGAGGAGGGGGGAGAGTGGAGGGTTGAGAAAGGAATTGAATTGAGGGAAGGACAAAAGAGGAAGGAAGGAAGGACGGATTCTGATGATGCTGATGATGCTGATGAGGATGATGAGGAGGATGAGGATTACGTTGTTGTCGCTATTGTTGTTGTTGGTGGTGATGATGATCATGAAGATGATCAGGAAGGGGCGGAGGCGGCAACAGAGGGAGGACAGTCGGGACGGAGGGTCGTTTTTCATCGTTGTCGCCCCGACTCGTTTCCCCTCTTCTGCCTTTCCCTGGTCCTCCTGCTCCTCCCGCACCTTCCACTCCAGTTCGTGCACCTGGTGTGCGTCTTTGTCCTCCTCCTCCTTCTGCTTCCTCCTCCTTCTCTTCCTGCTCATTTTCCGGTTCACCCGCCACCCCGCCTCCTAGGTACGCAGACCCCTGTTCCGATTGCGCACAGCGCTATGGGGTCTTTTGGTTGAAGTTCGAGGTCGGCTGTGACACGCGTCCGCGGATACAGAAACATAACATCAGCGCAGTGGAAGGGGCGGGAGAAAGGGACTCGATGTCTAATGTAGCGCGCCCCCCCCTGCGTATTGTGCTTCTGCACACAGGATGGGTCCGACAGTGTCTTTCCCCCGACTAGGCTTGTCTAAAAGGTTCTTACTTGGTTAAAGGTTGGTGCCTCGGATTCCTACGTTGCCCGTTGCTCGGAAATTCCCCGGGGTTCCTCGGGTTCCCCGGGCTCCTCGCCCCCAGTGCCTCCGATTCTTACGCCGCCCGTTGCTCGGAGGTTCCCCGGGTTTCCCAAATTCTCTGGGTTCCTCGGGTTCCCCAAATTCCTCGGGTTCCCGGGTTCCCCGGGCTCCCCGGGTTCCCTGGGTTCCCTGGGTTCCCCCGGTTCCTCGGGTTCCCCCAGTTCCTTGGACTCCCCGGGGTCCCTTGGGGTTCCCAAAGTTCCTCGGGTTCCCTGGGTTCCCCGGGCGCCCCGGGTTCCCCGAGTTCCCCGGGTTCCCTGGGTTCCTCGGGTTCACTTTCAACAAAAAGAACTCCCCTGATTGGGGCCGCGCCAGGTAAATTTTTTCCTTGTGCACAACCAAAAAACATAACGTTCCCAGTCCCTCAAAAATGGTGCTGCCGCTGCAGCGTGGGCATCGTTTTCGGGTCGGGGCTGTGTTTCCGTCGTTCCGATTGGCGCTCTCTGGCGCGGGCCACTGTTCTGGGTCCAAATTCTTTTTTTTCGTTGCTGTCACCCCCCTTCATTTCCCTTCCCCCGCCTTCTCCTTGTCCTCCTGCTCCTCCCGCTCCTTCCCCTTCCACTCCAATTCCTGCTGCTGCTGCTGCTGCTGCTGTTCGTCCTCGTCCTCCTCCTTCTTGCTCCTCCTCATCCTGCTGATTTTCTTACTGCTCATCCTCCTGCGCATCCGTCACCTCCTCCTCCTCCTCCTCCTCCTTCTCCTATGTACGCAGCTCCCCTTTTCTGATTGCGCCAACCCCGATAGAATCCGTCGACCCTGTCGGCGTGCGTGAGGGGTCTGTCTGGTCCCGTCGACGGGACGCCTTTTCTGTTTACCCTTCCCCGTCGGGAGGGAGAGAGCACTCTCCCGTCGTCGGGGGAAGGAGTCCGGGGATTGAGGGAAATCGACCCACGTCGTAATCACGTCAAAGGGAAGCCCCTTCCCTTTGTCCCTTCCCCGGTGTGGGGGGGGTTCCCGGGGGGGGGGGGAAGGTCAGATTCGCATCGCCTGTGGGGTCCTCCTCTCCCACGCCGGTCCTTCTCCGGCGCGCCGGTCCCCCTCGGGTCCTCCTCCCCAGGTGGGGAGGAGTCCCAGGGGGGGGAGGGGAGCCAGATACGCATCCGTCCCTGGAGGTCCTCCTCCCCCTCCCTTCCCTCCCCTCTCCCACGCCGGTACTCCTCTGGTCCTCCTCCCCAGGAGGGGGGGGTCCCCGGGAGGAGTCGTTTTCCTCCTCCTCCTCCTCCTCCTGATCTCCCTCCTCCTCCTTTTTCTCCTCCTCCCCCTGCTGGTCGTCGTCGATGTCTTTCAGGGTCGGCGGCGCTGGCCGTCAGGCCTTCACAATCATCCCACATTCCTCGGTGACCTCGGAGAGACCCAGTCTTCCACGCACCGTGGCAGTGTGCGAATATCGTGCTACTGTATCCGCACGCGGACGTCACCTGCAAATCTCGTCGGCCAATTTTTGCTGATGAACTGATGTGCCACCGCCTCCCCTCTCCAAATAACCGATTTTGGAATGCCCTGGCTGTTGAAACAAACCGTTCGGGGTAGCCTAAATCTAATAATCTAGAATTGGCAGGCCTAGAAGTGTTGAGCTATGGACCCGAGAGCACAAGCTGATCTTAGAATCCGTGAGGGCACTAGTGGCGCGGTAGCTTCACATATGGAACCCGATTCTTTATTCGCGGCGATAACGGGCGTTATGGGCGGGGCGGGAAGGGCATAACATACATAACGCCCCCCCCTCTGGCAGTGTGGTTCTGGCACCACCGCAGCGTCCGCGCGCACGACGACGACGAGCGACGAGCGACGACGACGACGGCGAATGAAGACGACGATGACGACGAAGACGACAATGAGGACGACGACGATGAGGACGACGACGACGACGACAACGACGACGACGACGAGGACTGACGACGATGACGACGACGATCACGACGACGACGAGCGACGACGACGACGGCGACGGCGACGACGACGAGCGACGCCTCTGGGATCGGACGGAAGCGAGGTCGCCCCCAAATGCGTGACACATTTTTTGGTTGGTCGAATGTGCATTAAGTACGTAGTACCGAAAAGACCCTCAAGTTGAAACTCTGCAGCAGCAGTCAGTCCAATTACCCCCCACCTTCTCCCCCCCTCCTCCTCCTTCTCCGCCTGCTTCTAATTCTCCTCTCAGTTGAGGGCACTACGTCAAAGCTGCGCTGCCCGCAAAGAGCAGCCAGCACAGACAGACACACGCAAGAATCACCTCTGGACCTGGCAAGGCCCGCGGAGGCCGCAGCGGTCACTCCCCCACCGCGCGCCACTCTTGGGCAGACCGCCGCGCGCCGCTCCACCGCCGCACGCAGGAGGCCCCGCACTGCTGACCTGCTGACGTCCTCGGACCCCGGCCACAGGCGTCTACCCGCAGGGCCACGCGGAGGGTGGCACCCGTGAGGAGCCCGCCGCCGCACCGCCGTCGCCAGCCTGACTGGCCCAGCGCGCCCCGCGCGGACCCACCGCCTCCTCCGCCTCCCTCCTCCTCGCCCTCTTCCTCCTCCTCCTCCTCCTCCTCCTCCTCCTCCTCCTCCTCCTCCTCCTCCTCGTCGGCCTCTTCCAGCTCCTCCTCGCCCTCCTCCTCCTCCTCCTCCTCCTCCTCCTCCTCCTCCTCGGCCTCTTCCAGCTCCTCCTCGCCCTCCTCCTCCCACGCAGAAAACCCCGTCGTGCCCACCGCGCCGCCCTCGCCGAACCTCCTGCCGTCGAACCAGCGGGTCTCGGGGAGCAGATCGCAGGCCGGCGCTGACAAGGAGCACGTCACCTCCGCCAACACCTGCGCGCCGTCCTGCCTCCGCTCGCAGCCTGGCTCCTCGGCGCGCACTTCGCAAGCCGCTGGCGACAGACAGTGGCGCGCCCTCGGCTGAGCCCGGGAGTGGCCCGGCGGTGCCCACCAGGACTTCACCGAGCCTGATCTTCTTCTTAATCTTCTTCTGATGCTTCTTGCGTTGGGTCTGGTAGCAGTAGGCCTTCCGTCCCAGCGCGTGGTGCGTGGGCGAAGCGTGCGCAACATTGGCCGAATCACCACCGTCAACGCTCGAGGCTCGCGCCTGCTGCGCTTCGGGCGAGGGCGCCTGGTCACCGACGCTGTCCTGGGCCTGCAGCTGTTGCAGCCGCGCGACGACGTCCGCCGCCAAGAACCTCTGACCGTTCACTTTGATTGCATTGTCGTCGATACTGAACAGCTTTGCGGGGGTCTCGAATGGCAGAGGTGAGCCGTCGTCGCCGCCCTGCCCGCCGACGCCGGCACCTGGGGCACCGTTGGGCCAGCTGTCCGGTGCCGCCGTGGGGCTCCGTGCCGGCTCCCGCACGTCCTGAGGCACCGCGCCCCAGCGCTGAGACTGCAGCTCCGACTGGGCAGCCCTGGCCACCAGGAGTGCGGGGATGACCCCCTCCTGCACGCTGAAAGTCGTGTTGTACGGCCTTCCACCGGCGATCTTGGAGTGCAGCAACGGTTCCTGGTAAAGCTCTCCGTCCAGCGACACCAGGAGCCACCCGGGCTGCACCCCGCTCCGGGCGGCCTGCCCGCCCGGAGTCACCTGGGCCACCCTGCCCGTGGTGGCGACCATGCTCATGTGCAGGGGCCCGGGCTGCATGGTGACCGTCGTCTCGCTGACGGTCCCAGTGCTGGGCCACCTCAGCCCCCCAGCAGGCTCTGAACCTCCACCCTCGGCAACCTTGGCCTCGGCCTCGGCGCCCGTGGCACTGGCCCCCGCCGGCCACGGCGCCCACGGCGGCGCCGCACCCCTCGGCAGGCCGTGGGCGCGCGAGGAGCCCGATCCCCGCCGGGGCCCCGCCGTCCGGCCTTCTCTCTGGCGCGCGGGGCGGCGGGCCCCCGGCCGCCGGCCAGAGGGCGGCGCCGCGGGGCGGCGGCACGTCGTAGCCGGGCGGTGCGTCCCGGGGGGCACGCCCGCCAGGACCGAGGGCGGGCTCAGGCACTGGGGCTGCGCGAGGCCTGGCGGAGGCAGGACCCCGCCCCCCCGGCAGCCTGGAGGCTGCTCCCGGCGGCACGGGCCGCCCATGCCCACGCCGCCCTGCAGGGCGTTCTGCTCGTTGCTGCCGCCGCCCGGGCCGAGGCGCACGCCCTGCGGGGCGCAGGCGGCGGCGCAGCTCTCCGGCTCCTCCGCGGCCTGGTGCTTCGACGCCGCGGCTGCTCCCGCCTGGTGCCTTCGGCGCCGCGGCTGCTCCCGCCCGCGCGCGCGGTCGCGCTGCCAGAACCACCAAGCAGCGCCCGAGGGCGGGCGGTGTGGCCCAAGCGTCGTCTGCCCTGTGGCGAAGGGCCGGCCGCCAGGCCGTGGCCATCACGGAGCTATGGCCTCCGAAATCTGCTCAGTTTACGCGGCGCCCATGATGCCCATGGACAGTGGCATCATGCGCATTTGGACGCCTTGGGAGTCACGTGAGCCACTTGAGCCAACCTTGACTTAACACGAGAGCGACCTTCCGTGCGCGGCGCGCCGATCATTGCATGCGAGGATGCAGCAGCGGCCTGTGTGCTTGGGGTTGCCCCACTCCGCGCCCCCCGAAATCCGCACACCAACGGTCATTCCGCCTAAGTGTCACTCTTACGTGAAGCCGACGCCCTCCCTCCCCCCCTCCCTCCCCAACTTTCGCGCCATAATCCGAGCCCCTACCGGCCCTTCGGGGCGATTCGGGCATCCCTGGAACGCTCTCGGCGTGACGCAGCTGTTGGAAGGCGGCCCGGGGCGGGCAAACCAGGAGCAGACGAAACCGCCCGCGATCCGAACTTCTCGGCGAGGTCACAACTTCGCGACGCGCGGCTACCTTCGCGCCCTCGCGAGGCCTCCTTGCAACAGGGCAGCTCTCCGGACCAGGCCGCGGCGCGCGCAGCGCGATCGCCTTCGCGCCGCCCCCGCGGGTGACCTGGCTTCCGAACAGGTGCCTTCGCGAGGGCCTCCGATCGCGGCTGCCTCCACCTGGGGCAGGGCAGTGTTGGAGAAGCACGAACGTGTGGCTGACTGGAGCATGACTGAAGTGAGCCGAACTTGGGGGACTGACCCCGGGGGACAAGCAGCGACCTGGGATCCCGCCGGAGTGCTTTTTGATAACGATATTCACCCGATAGACCTGAGACCAAGATGGCGAGCGGGAATGAGATCGAAAATGGGGGAGAAATAGTACAGTTCTAACGAATTGTAAGTTTTGAGAAACATCATTATGAACCGACCAAACAAGGACAAAACTTCCAGTCGGCGATACATCGCCGACAAGTCGGCGACAAACCCCCGATAGCGAAACCGCACGTTCCTGGCCGGGGCTGCGGGGCCCAAGCCCCCATCTCGGCGATGCAGGGGCACCCGGGTGCCGATGCCTCACCCCGCCTATGACGAGGCCAGGACAAGGCTCAACTCGGGTGAGGATACACCGAGGATCTCTGAGATCCAGCGGCTCCGGAGGAGGTCTCGGGGGCCACGGCAGTTCCGGAACGCTCTGAGAGCGTCCCGAAATGCTCTGGAACGCCCCTTCCCTTTGCCCCTTCCCCGGCGGGGGGGGGTCCCGGGGTGGTGGGGGGGGGCGGGTCAGATTCGCATCGCCTCTGGGGGTCCTCCTCTCCCACGCCGGTCCTTCTCCGGCGCGTCGGTCCTCCTCGGGTCCTCCTCCCAAGGTGGAGGAGTCCCAGGGGGGGGAGGGGAGTCAGATACGCATCCGTCCCTGGGGGTCCTCCTCCCCTCCCCTCCCCTCTCCCACGCCGGTCCTCCTCCGGTCCTCCTTCCCAGGGGGGGGGTCCCAGGGGGGAGTCCTTTTACTCCTCCTCCTTCTCCTCCTCCTCCTCTTATCTCCGCCTCCTCCTCCTCCTCCCCCTCCTGGTCGTCGTCGATGTCTTTCAGGGTCGGTGGCACTGGCCGTCAGGCCTTCACAATATTTTGTTGGAGTTCCATGTCCGCTATGAGAAGCGTCCGCGGATAGCGAACGACATCAGCGCAGTGGGAAGGGATGGGAGGGAGGGATGGGATGTCAGAGATGGCGCAAGCGCACCTGTTTTGTTGGACTTCCATGTCCGCTATGAGAAGCGTCCGCGGATAGCGAACGACATCAGCGCAGTGGGAAGGGATGGGAGGGAGGGATGGGATGTCAGATATGGCGCAAGCGCACCTGGTTTCCCCCCACCCCCCCATCCTCCCCCCCCTCTCCCCCCTTCTGGACCAGGAATGGCAGCGGCGGCGGCTGCGGTAGCAGCGGCGGCAGCTTCGGAGGCGTACGACAGGTCCTGCTCCTCTTCGCTCCGCGGCGTGGCTGCCACAACTTCCCACTCCTCGATGCCGCTGGCGGGCTCACGAGGCTGCGCACGCTGATCCTCATTGGCGCCATGAGCAGGAGCACGACGGCAATGAGTATCATCAGGAGAGTGAGGAGGATGATGTGTATGATGGGAGAGGAGAGGAGGGAGACGGATGAGGACGAAAAGCAACAAGAACATTATATGGCTCGCATGGCAATGCCCGGCTCGGGAGCTCGCAGATAGGCAAAGGTAACGGGTCTGATCGACGCCGCGGGCGATGGCCGTGAGTCTGCGCTTGAGATGGGGACACGATGAGACTCGTGTCTTTGTCCACGTGGATACGCTCCCAAGTCAACCCGCATGTCGCGCAATCCGTGTCGGCTGCAGCGCGATTGGGGTGCTCTCTGGTACCCAGCCGCCGGCATCGCCAGCAAGTGGCTCAGACTCCGGTCTGGCGGCGCCTCCCCGTGGGTTTTCGGCTGGTGCCCGGTTGGCTGGCGCCCGTGGGCGCCTCCTCCTCCATTCCTTCTCCTCAAGAATAATCCCACCAGCCCTTTGGGCGTGAGTGGTTTAGCGAGCTCTCTCTGTCCTCAACCCCCCTTCTTCCCCTTCGGGGAGGGGTTTACCCCTCCCCTTACCCCCTCCCCCTGGGCCTGGAGAGGGGGGGCCGCGGGCCGTCAGGGGGGTCAATTTCGACTCCTGGGATGGCTAAACAACGACACCCCTCACGAGGATTCTGGCCCCGACGGGGGGGGCAGAAAAAATGCTCTCCTCTTCTTTGAAACCAAAATCATTGATTTTACTACGGTTTCGGCCCCATTTTGGCCTTCTGAGGGGGCAGCGCTCCTCTTCCTTCATAGCAAAATCATTGATTTTACGAAGGTTTTGGGCTCATTTTCTCCTTCTCAGGGGGCAGCGCTCATTTGCGCTTCTGAGGAGGTCGCAAGAGGCCCCAATATGGCCCCAAGAGGCTCCCAGGAGGCTCCCAAGAGGCCTCCAAGAGGCCCCCAAGAGTCCCCCAAGAGGCCCCAAGAGGCCCCCAAGAGGCCCCCAAGAGGCCCCCAAGAGGCCCCAAGAGGCGCCAAGAGGCCCCCAAGAGGCCCCCAATAGGCCCCCAAGAGGCCCCCAAGAGGCCCCAAGAGCCTCCAAGAGGCCCCCAAGAGGCCCCACGAGGAGCCCGAACGACTCACACCAGGACGAGGGGCCCGAACGACTCGCACCACGAAGAGCCCGAACGACTCACACCACAAGGAGGGGCCCGAACGACTCACACCAGGACGAGGCGCGCGAACGACTCACACCACGAGGAGCCCGAACGACTTACACCACGACGCGGGCCTCGAACGACTCACACCACGAGGAGCCCGAACGAGTCATACCAGGAGGAGGAGTTGCTGCTGTGAGATGGGCTGGTGGGGATACGCGAAGCGTAAAGATTTTCTCCCTGTCGCACCCCGAGGCCAGTTTCCAGGGCGGGCCGGGCGTTTCGCCTGAGACTTCCTCACCGTTTGTGGCCCTGAAACTTAAACATAGGCAACATTTTCACGGATGGAGGGAATGCCACAACTCACGTTGCAACGAACCACTGGCAACAAGTCACCGCGCAGTCCACACGCGCGCGCACATGTTGATATCACACCGAACACATTAGTTTTGTAAGCGCTTCGACATACATACACCAAGCACCTACTGGGTTTTCAGCAATCACCTTCAGGTTTTCTGCCTGCGCTGGCGACTGTCTGTCTTTAACGATCTCGTTCAAAACCCGCGCTCTCATCTCACCACGCGGTGCATCCGCGTTGATCTAGCATGCGCCCACTGTGCGAATCAGTATCACACAGGACCATTCAGGCCACATGCGCGCGCCGCCACGCGCGCGTGTCGAAATCCGCCCAGGACGATGGTTACCCGACGCATGTCAAAATTGCGCTCATCAGAACCATAGAGAAAACCCAGGACTCTTGCAACACAGAAGCTCTCATACTTCTTGCATTTGTGCGCCCGCACGTCTTTACGCTCACCCTCATCAGCGCCATCGCATCACCGCGTTACCCTCAACGCCAATGGCCGCCATTGCCGCCATCATCAACCAATTACTTTCATTGCTGGCACATGGGCGCCATCATCATCATCATCATCATCATCATCATCATCATCATCATCATCATCATCATCATCATCATCATCATCATCATCATCATCATCATCAACATCATCGTCACCATCATCATCATGACCACCACCATCATCAATGTCGAAATCATCATAAATCCTCCCTCTCATCATCACCTTGCCGTTGTCATCGCCATCAACGCCACTCCGCACTGGCTACTATCATCATTGTTACCGCCGCTGTCGCCGTCGTCATGGTACCGCGCCCGCCCGAATCACCGACACGCGCCAGCGCGGCCCCGGAGGCGCGCTGGCAAATTTCCATCGGTAAGCGCGATCGCGGCCGCATCGGCTGTGCCAAACCAGCTGGCCGATCTTCGCGCGAGCATGCGCGCGCCAACGCGGCCGCAGAGATGCACTAACAAGTGCCAAGCAATCACCGTGATCGCGGCCGCATGTGTAATGCCAAACAAGGTGCGAGTGGGCGGGTGGGATGTTTGCGCGAGCAATGGAGTCGACAACTCATTGTTGACTCGGTTGATTGCGCTGCAAAGCTTTTACCAACGTTTGCCAGCGTGGACCCCAAACAAGGGTTGCTGCACTGTGGATGTGTATGCTCTGTGGTGCAAGCTCTGTGGCGCAAGCGGTGTAGTGCAAGCTGCCTGGTGTACGCTATATTTAATGGGCGTACGCCATGAGGTGCAAGCTGTGCGCACAGGTGCTAGCATGGCTGTGCAATTCGTGTGGTGTGAGCTATGTGGTGCACGCTGCGTGGTGAATCACTTTTTTGGTCGGCGGGTCGAGAGCGGGCCTCTTCCGGTTAAGAGCTAGGCTGGGCGCGCAAAGCACTAATTGGGGAGACAGGCCGCGGGCGGGCGGGGCCTCAGGCGGCCGGAGGGTGCGGGGTTCAGGCGGTGCCGAAGAGCATGCGCGTGGCAAATCACATGCGAGACAAACTATGTGGCAAAATCCATGCGGCCGCCCGGGGCACGACGCGCCCACCGACGGGCATCAGACGACATCTCGGCCGACCCACCCAGCGCACGAGGCGCCCACGCGGCGCCTGCGGACGCCCATGGGCGGGCCCTCGGAGAAACCTCGGCGCGCCCACCCGGCGCACGAGGCGCCCACGAAGCGCCCACGGGCGGGCACCAATGGAAACCTCGGCGGGCCCACGTAGCGCACGAGGCGCCCGCGAGGCGCCCCCCGAGCGGGCACCGGGCGACACCGTGGCCGACCGACCCAACGTCTTAGGACGAGGAGAGTAAGAGCCCCCAAGTGCAAGCACTGCTCGGGGATGGCTTGCACCAAACAACTCGCACCAGACAAGTCACACCACAACGCTTGCACCGCACATATTGCACCGCAGCGCCTACACCACATAGCTTAAACCACTTAGCTTGCACCGAATAGCTTGCACCACATTTCATACACCAGATCGCTTGCACAGCATTGTTTGCACTACTTGGTTTGCATCGAATGGCTTGCACCACGTTTGTTGTATTCGCCGGCCCAACGGGCCAGAGGCGTGCTAAGATCTCCGGTAACTGCTCTACAATGTTTCTACTTCGCGCGCGCGGGGCGGCCCCTGGGGGTCCCCAGACGAAAAGTACCCCGACCAGGTCCCGGCCGGTCCCCGGCAAGGTCCCCGGCAAGGTCCCCGGCAAGGTCCCCGCAAGGTCGGGCCAGAGATGCCGGAGCCCTGTTACAGGGCCCCAGGACGGGCCAAGAGGCCCCCAAGAAGCCTCCAAGACGGTCCAAGAGGGCCCCGAGACGGCCAAAGATCGCCCGAAGACGCCCAACAGGGCCCCAAGACAGCCCAAGAGGCCTCCAAGACGCCCCAAGGGCCTTCCAAGAGGCCTCCGAAGAGGGCCCCAAGAGGCCAAAATCGTTGATTTTCATTGTTTTTTTCGCTGTTTTTTGCGTTCTGGCTTTTTCGGCTTCCGGACGCTCCAAGACGGCCCAAGAGGCCCCCAAGACCGCTCCAAGACGGCCCATGAGGCTCCCAAGACGGCCCCGGAACGGCCCAGGAGGGCCCCCAAGACGGCCCAAGTGCCGCCCAAGACGGACCAAGAGGCCCCAAGACGGGCCCAAGAGGGGCTCAAGAGGGGAACCGAGAACTGAAAAATCGAGCCCTCCGCCCCAGAAGGCGCCCAGGAGGCCCCAAAAAGGCCCCAAGAGGCCCCCAAGAGGCCCCCAAGACGCCCCAAGAGGCGCCCAAGAGGCCCAAAAGAGGCCCCAAGAGGCCCCAAAACGGCCCCCAAGAGGCCCCAAAACTCGGCTAGCCCACAACTGTGCGACAATATGGGCCGGCGGAATGAGCGAAGCGATTAAATAAAAATGATGCGACGAAATTTTGGTTGAGGTGGTGCAATCTACGTGGTGAAGGCCACGATTGCAAGACAAGTGTCTCAAGCTATGTCTTGCAAGACATGTGATGACACCTATGTGGTGCGTGCGGTGCGAACTGTGATGCGCCCAACGCACGGGCCGCCCACGAGGCGTCCACGAACAGCCACCGACCGTGCACCATGCAAAACACCCCCGGTGGAACCAACCACCGCACGAGGCGCCCACGAGGCGCCCACGAACAACCACCAGGTGCCCAAAAGACGCCCACGAGGCGCCCACTACCAAGCGGGCACCAGATGAAACCTTAGCGGACCCACCAAACGCACGGGACGCCCACTAGGCGTCCTACGAACAACCACCAACCGAGCCCCGAGCGAAATCCTGGCGGACTCACCAAACGCCAAGAATACCCACGAGGCCCCTCGACCGGCCACCAACCGGGCACCAGGCGAGACCCCAGCGGACCCACCCGATTACTGATCAAGACAAGTAAGAAACCCTAAGTGCAAGCACTGCTTGCGGAATATGGCGTCCAAAACGAACCCTTCTGGGCCATTACCTGCGCGGTGTCCTGGGTCATCGTGTGTAGAGAAGCCCTGGGCTAAGACATC